TTCATTCATTTCCAATTTGTCCTTGCTCGGTTTACCGAAAAGTGCAACATTTGACAAAATGCGAGCCTCGGAATATCGTAAAAACTTTATTTCAGAAACATTTTGAAAGAGAGGGTTTTAAGGTCTAAAATCTTTTGATCAAGAGTGTTTTGGTCCGAAAAGGGGTATGAAGTTGAGATTTGACTCTCTCCTTGCCACAGAAATTGAACCTTTCCCCTGCACAACTTCCAAAACCATCAGTCACGTCCAAGTCTTAAAGGCGGTCAAAAATGGGGTGTCTACAAATACAAACTCCAAGTATTTTTGCAGACCTGCAAAAATCATGGAGGTTCACAAAGACCGCTCGAGCGCCAAAAGTATCGCTCGAGCCTGGGCATCAACAACTTAAAAAACAAGCTACCAACCTATTCCAAACGTAACCAACATGTCTTAAAAGCCAAACTCAAAGAGAGACAAGGGGAACCAAGACATGAATAACTGTATAAGACAATGAAACCCAGATCTAAAACATCAAATGGGTTGGGTCTAAAGCAGAAATGCTATAGAGGTTTGACACAACAAATAAATATGTACAAATAACAGTATTTACAAATAAATAGATGTTGACTCTTCACAAATAGTTGGCGTTTATTACTAGGCAAATTGTCTTCCTACCATTTTGCTCATATCTGCTTGCTACATCCATTTTTGATGCATATCTACTTGCTCCGTATTTGCTATTTTTTTTACTCCAACCCATTTGATCATTTGAAAATATTATCGTTGAAAAAATATGATCGTTTAAAAATACAATCGTGTAAAAATATTATTTAGAAAATTAATTTAATAATATATTTAAAAAAATAAATATTTGTAAATGCTACATCAATAACAATGTCAACACTAGGTGCATATGCAATATGTCATAAAAAAGATTGTATTTTTTATTTATATTTAAGTATTTTTTATTTGTTAAAATTAGTTAAGTTAATTTGATTGGTTAGCTAAAATAAAGAGTATAGTTGGAATACACACTGGCTAGGCTAGTTAGGCAAAAAATGGAGTATTTTTTCTGTGTGCTTTTACAAGGCATTTTTCTTAACAGCTTTGGAGTTGCTCTTAAGAGCATCTCTAACTCACTAGGCATATAAAATTTGTTAATTAAAATGCATAGTATAATTTATTTTTTTAAACTCCAATGCATTAGATTTATGATTAGGCATTTGCCTTAACTTACATTCAGTAGCTAAATGTAACTAACTTTCAAAGGCTAGGCAAAATATTTTTTACCCTTATGATTTTTTTCCTCCATCTTTATTGCTAATGTGATATTCCATAAAGTGATTAATATTTGGATGAATAACTAAATAAAAAGCATGATTGGAGTGAAAATATGAAAAAGTAGATAGACAAAATGAAATATATACATTATAGTAATTGTGGAGGGAAAAAATATGAGCCCAGACCCATATTCATTGACATCAGCCCAAAAAGAGAGAGAAGTCCAAAATAATTCCTTAAGCCCATAAAAGACAACTGGTAATAGGTTGGTCCAAACTCAAGTGTGTAAGGGGCAATTGAACATAAAGATATCATTCTAGAAGAAGGATTTGCAGAGAAAGGAAGGTCGTTGGATTAAGCTTCAATCCGATGGATGAGAATATATGTCAAGAAATTCAAAGACGTAGGCTGGGCCTAGTTGAAGGTAAAGTCGTCCAATCAAAATCATGTCACGGCCATGACGCCAAGCAAGTTGGCCACGAGCATCTGACATAATCTTAGCCATTTATACGGTAAGGATCTAATGATCAAGGGTAAAAGCAACATGACATTGGACTGATCATTGCCAGACAAAGGCAAAACCTCTGCTCAAAAGGTAAACAGACTAACAAGATTTAAGCCAAATAACTATAAAAGGGTCAATAGGTAAAGCACAAAGGACGGACAAGACGTAATCCAAGAAACCTCTTTTAAATACAGTTTACAAATATTTTCTCCATGGCCAATCAATATACTGACTTGATAGGGAGGGTCCTCTCGACCAAACTAGGTCAGGGGCAATCACTGACATTTAGTTTCTATTTACAGAGTAAAAGGGAGAGACACATCATCTTGTTTTCCTGTGGAGATAATTTCACCTTCTACAATAACTTTTAGATAGGTAAAATAATTGAAGATGCTCTAACATAGTGACATTTCGCATTTAAACTAAATTTATATGTTTTTGCCATTTGCTTTGTGGTTCATTTTATGATTGTCATGTATTGACGGAAAAAAAAGAAGTGCAATGACAAAGAGACACACACACACACACACACACACACACATATATATATATATATATATATACACTAGTGTAAAAGGCCAGTGCCTTGTATGACCTTTGACTCTAATATTTTATTGGGTTTACTAAATGAAATAGAATAATATGACTTTTTTTTTAAATATTTATTTTATATTTCATTCAAAAAATAATAAAAAATGCATTGTAAAAGAAACAATAATTATTCCATAAAAAAATTTAAAAAAATAATCATTTCATTTCGTTCCATTGTACTTCATTCCATTCTACAACCTGAACTGTTTATCCAAAAATAAGAGTAGTTTCTTGCAAAATTGAATAAAATAAATGATTAAATATATGATAGAAATTTTAATTTCTATTATAAGGTACAATTATAGAATAAATAGATGAGATAAAATTTTAGTTCAAATGAGTAGATTTTTTGTTGTTATTTTTTATTAGAATGGAATAATTGAATAGTGATATTATACGCCATTGATCATATGGTATCACCGTTAAATTTTGTTTTGGTTTCATTTGTAAAAAATTATTTTTAGACCCGTGCAAGAAACAGACTATTTTTGTGATAAATTTATATTTCCAAAATGCAAATCTTATAACAAATCATTTTGTTTTGTTTGATTTTTTAAAAATTATTGTTAGATGAATTTTCAGTTGTTTTAGTAAATTTTTTCATATTTTATTCAAATTATTATTATTATTTTACAAATTTTTTTTCTATTTATTCTGTTAAATTAAAGATTCTAATAAGGAATAGTTGAAATTTTTAATATTGCAAGGGAATTTTATATTTTAAACAAACTTCAGGGGTGTATTTATAATTTATCCAAAATCGAAATATTTATGTTTTATACCTGACCAAGAATCTATACATTATTACGAAAGACCTTTCACTCAAATTAGTACCACCAATATTGGTAAATATTACCAAAGAAAAGAGTAAATTGGGAAAGTCAAATTATAGGTTATAATTAGTAAATTATGCAAAATAAAAGGGCAAAATTCTCAGGAGTGTATTTATAATTTATCCAAAATCAAAATATTTATGTTTTATAACTGACCAAGAATCTTTGCATAATTACAAAAAAAACTTTCATCCAAATTAGTATCACCAATATTGGTAAATAACATAAAATAAAAGGGCAAAATGAGAAAATTAAAGTGCAAGTCTCTAATAGTAAATAATTCCAATCAGAAGGGCAAAATAAAAATAAAAAAAAAATACGAACCTCAAGCAAGTAAGCGCTTATATATATAGGTATATATTATTGTAATACAAGATCCTATATAATTAATATACAACACTACTACAAACTCATAAAATTACTTAGAAAAGTGAATCAATGCACTACATTCATTATAACTGTGATCCACATCTCACTAATTTTAAATCCACACAATACACTCACTCACTTTTTGGAATAAAATTTAGAATATATTTTCAAGATGCATGGCATTTTTTTTATTAACAGTGGTACTCTATTCAAGTTGTGAACATTTATTTTTGAGTGAGGTGTTGGATTTTTTATGGATAGTTTGTAATATTAAATGTTATTTTTAATTTAAATATTGTTTTTTTTAAATTGAATATTTTTTTGACAATCTCTAACTCTAATTTAATTTTTGGATAAATTACACTGACCTTCCTTGAAGTTTGGAGGTTTTAAAATAATTACATTAATTTCCTTTTTAGTAAAGAAACCAAAATTAATGGAGATGTTATGAAAACAAAAAGATACCTAAGATGAAATATACATTTTAATGTAAGAGATATGAAAAGGAAAATTTACTCATAAGTCCTAGTTTTTGAAACGTTGAACCATTTAGTCCTAAAAGTTTTCTTATGCTCCATTTAGTCCCATTTTTACATCAACTTGATGTGAATGATGTAAATGATCTGATGTTTCATTCTATAATTTCAAAATTTATTGAAATCTGATGAACATTAGATGTTTTTCATTCTATATTTTCAAACATTATTGAAATTTGATGAACATTAGATGTTTGAAATCCAATGTTTGTAACATGACTCTGATGTTATTAACATTGTATCTGATGTTATTAACATTGTAATGGGACCTTTCCGTCTATAAGAAAACTTTTAGGACTAAACAGTGCATAAGTTATTAATTTGGGATTTATTGGTGCATCCCCCATATGAAAACAACATTCTTTCATTTATACAATTAACGAATTTCTGATGAAAATGAAGCTAAAAGCGATATGAATTAAAACCATAAAAGAGTCCAGTGTAATAATACCAAACTTATAAGATTTATTGTATTTTCTCAAAGTCTCAAGAGTGGTAAGTATAACTTACTCTTAATTTTTTTACAAGCTTTGACCATAATTGATTTGAATTACTTGTGTTTCATAGTATGTTTTTTGCCTTTGCATTTAATTGAGTTTGAATTTTTATGGGGCTTTTGTATCCCGCCTTTCATTTCTGTCCTAGCTATAAAAGGTGAAAATGTAGATGATGGGGTCAATTGCTTGACATGCCAACTCAATGAACACTTCTGCTATTGTGCATTTCCATACAAACAGGAAATAACTGCATCGTTTGAGGTTTGTTCTGATGAAGTGAAAGATTTATTTATTTTTTATTTTCTATTTATTTTTTATTTTTAATTTTTTTTTATCAGCAAGGAAAGTAAACACAACATTACAAAAGGGGAGAATGCAAGAGTTGGCCAGAATCCAACTGCCAAGAGAAAACGAAAAAGCCCAAAACACTACCAACCTTCCTGAAACAGAACAAACAAGGCATGATCGTCCAACAACTATCTTTAGAATCAAAAGATAGAACAAAAGAGGATACAGCAGCAACAAAAAAAACACAGATGATTCAAGTTGGTCAGTGATAACTGACTACTTTGGAACAATGAATACCATGATGGTAGTGCTGCCAGGCGATGTAGAACTGCTTATATAATCTTGCAAGTCCTGATCACAAGCTATTACAATTAAGTCATCATCCTCATCTTTGTACTTGACATAATATGTTCCATCCTCTAAGTGCAGTCTATTGGTGATTTGCTGCTGCAACTCAACTAGTCCCGATGACAAAGACAGCAGAAACTTTATTATAATATCATTGATATATTTTGCCTTCACGGTCACAATATTTGCATCTCGGATCACTGTAGTACATGGGTTTGCATGAACAACAATAGCTGAGACTTGACTAAAAGGCTGATCATAACTTAATTGTGGTATTTGTTGATGATCAACACCCGGGGAAGATTCACTAGGTTGAGAGGAACCAACCATATTCTTCTTGCGTGGTGGCCACCTCGGGAAACCATAACCCCTACAAACACGCTTTAGTGTAGATCGGCTAACTGCCAAAAGGAAGAATCTAGCTAAGAGACACAACTTTATGTTTGTTAGTGCAAAATGTCAAATATTTCCTTACAAGAAGAATGTCAAGTTGAAAATAACAAGTAAAATCACAAGCAATATTCTATTTTAATTTGTTAAAAGTGCAGATACCTTCGAGGTTATCTGCAGCAACCTCGATGCTCTTCTTCGAATTTTGTAGGATATCATCTAAAGGAATTTCAATTTTAACTCCAGTTTTATTGTGCACTCTTTTTGGCCTCTTTGTTTTGCCTTTCTCCTGTAAACAAGTAACATCAATGTTGCTTCTTTCGGCACTTACAACATTGCTTCCATTGTTTAATGCATCCATTGATTGTTGATTCAATAAATCCAGTTGTGACATCTCTCCTCCACTTTGTAAGGGCTCCAGCCTAGATAAAGATTTAGTAGTCTGGGGCATTTGAACAGAATCAATTTTCTCACCGTTCTGAAAAGGAATTTCTTCAATATATAAATGTCCCCCAAGTTCTTCTCCGGAAGCAAGCTTAAAAGTAAGAAAATTTTTCTTCATGGTTTCCAATATTTTCCTCAATCCAGTCTGTTGATTAGCATAGTAGTCTTTGTTGCTTGGCTGCATAAAGCACTCACACATAAACGTCATTTCCGGTGCAACTACTCTGCAAGCATATTGCGAAACAACAACCTAATTTATGATCTCGTGCATAGTGTGCCAATGGGTAGTCAATTATGCTAAGTTGGGTTACATCCTTGCACAATAATACATTAGGGGAGTAGAATGCTCTCCCAACAACTCCTTGCCCCTTTCTTAAGTGAAGTTCAACATTGACCATACCGAGTAGTCTGTAGCAGTCAACTTCATCAAATTTGAGCATCACATGGAAGATGTCACCCTTAACCAGTGCCCTGCACGGGCCCCATACTTGAGCAAAATGTAAACCATGAACTTCACGCACAACTTCCAACACCTGGTTGATTTCATTTAAGGCTTTTGTTTGTCTCACATTCTGGTTGAAAAGCATTGTCACATCCAAGTATTGTCAGAAGATATTCCTCAAAGTATTGTCACGTCCAAGTATTGTCAGAAGATATTCCTCATCATATTAATTTAAAAAATAAAATAAAATACCAAATTTGACATTACATTACAGTGTACCACTTACACTTTCCTTGCAATGGTCGGCAACTGAAATTGAAGATTCCAGACCTACCTCCTGCAGGGGAATGGAAAGATGCGACTAAGGAATCTTGTACACTTCGAAATTTAGAATATTTGTTTGCCAAGAAAAGAGACTCTATAATGGAAAAACAATTCAGTCACAGCTAAAATGCAATAAAAAAATACAACTTGACGTTTTGCTTTGCTTTCTTTCTTTCTACCATAGAAGCTCATGTTGAGAAGATAACAACACACTATCTTATCCTCAATTCAATAGTTTATTCATTGAATCTTTTTGGATCTTATAATTTTAATTATAACAATTTACCCTTTAATTTTACATTTTGTGTCACATTGATATTGATAACAACCGTGAGGAAATACTGCAAGTACATACTCCTCACATGCCATTCGACACCGACAAGATGAAAAAAAAATGAACAAATAATAGTTGTGCTAACGGTCCATCTAGCTTCGTCATTTGTAGTTCAATTAATTTCGATTTCAAAAGATTAGCGCTTTAATTTTTGTAATTTGTGTTTGGTTAGTCTAAAAAATTGAATTTTTCGCTGAATAGACACATGAGGAGCACGTAGCCATGTTCCATTGTAATAGAATCAAATATGCACAAACTAAAAGATTAAAGGAAAAAATTGTTGGTTTGCCTGATTAGTAGGTCCAATGAGCCAAATACCACACAGTCGTTGATGATTTATTAATAAAATGAAGTCAATGTTATACAATTAGAAATTTGAAGAGGCATTATATATTTTCGCAGAATCACACGAGTCAATTTGTATTTTAAACAAAGTATTGGTTTGGCATGTGGGTTAGGGATGGGTTGGGACAAAAATAGTCACAAAAAGACAAAACAAGTTTTTTAAACCAGGGCTAAAAATTATCACATCCAAACCATAATCACATTATTTTTTCTCTTATCAAAGTCAAAAAAAAAATAAAAAACCTATCTCAAATGAGACTATTTTAACTAAAAAATAAAAAAGACAACCCACATCCCAAACGAAACTAAACTTATATTTTTGTAATTTACCCTATTAAAAACACACTTCTCATCTTCTTCTTCTTCTTTTTTTTTTTGATATTGTTTATAAATAAAAAAAAAAATTTAATTATCCAAGGAGCACAATTCTGCATACATATAAGAAAGGAATGAATCAACCAAGATTAGAAAGACATAAAAAAAAATGCCAATTTGTGAGTTGGGGGACCAACCTTCCAATAATTATGGAAATTCCCCCAATCAGGGTCAAGGAATGATGGATATTCCGTTGAGGGCGTTGTTGAAACTATCTCAAGTACACCAACACATAAGTGGGTAGAAAGATCAAACAGGGGGATAGCCGAAGATAGTTTAACTTGGCAATGTAAAGCATGGTCGCGCAATGGATACTCTTTGATAGAGTAATATTCTATATTAGAACTGAATTCGGGAAATCCATGCTTGAAAACACGGCCAGGAACCCCAAGTTGTTCATCGGAACTCTCTCTATCCATGTAAAATTTATAGTCCTTAGAGATCATCCTATACCCACAAAATCCTTTAACATCATCAATTCTTATATCAAATGTAGAAAGAGCGAAAGGTTGGTTTTGAGTTGTAAGATAAGACCGGCCCTCCATTGTCCTTGTGGGTGCCCAAAATTGATATAGTATTGGATATTCAAAGCAATCGACTACACAATTTCGAAGGACATCTTTGATCTTCTTTTTAAAATCCAAAATATCTGATAAATAATTTTAAAAAAAAACCAAACAAACAAACAAACAAAAAACAAAATTCGAGGCGCGAAGTGAGATTTGAAAAGCAGGTAGTAGGTAACTGTGTTGATTTAAAATTGACTTATAAATTAAACTCCAATTACAAATTACATGAATAAAACCCATATTCAAAGGAGGGAGAAGCAGAAGAAAGAGAAGAGACATAAAAGTCTACTCACCTGGAAAGAGAATCGGAGGATGTTCGGATTGGTCGTCTTCTCGGCTCCAAAAAACCCATCCACAGAAGATATCTTTACCAGTATCATCATACACCACTGGGCAGCAGTTCGGTTGAGTATCCACATACTCCTTGAAATCGTCAAGGAAATCTGCTGCTACTGTTCCTTCTTTATCAAAAGGGCTATATCCATCTGGTTCGGCCATGTTCTGAGAATTACTTATCAGGGAAGTTCCCCAACCCACCCTTCTCTAACCAGGGTCATTAGATTATATAGATAACCAAGAGAGGGGACCACTATTGTTTGGGTATCCTAAATAGTGTATTTTTAATTTTTTTTAAATTAAAAAGTTAAGGAAAAAAAATATGAATATTTAGATTAATTTTTTATTTTTTTACGAAAAAATATATAATAAAAAATTGTATAAATAAAGTATATAGTGAAAGAAAGATGAGCGGTTGTACCTGCTGCCTCAGCATATCTTATCCAGAAAATAATTGCCTCTTTCGGGGCAAAGTGTTTGGACAGTGATGGTCGGTCCGTGGGGGCCACCATGGGTCTCATTTTAATAATCTGAACCGTTCAATATGTACAACTCGTTGATTATTATATGCCTATAAAAAATCACATTGATCGGATATCGATAGCTGTATGATCAGATTAGTTTTTTTAACAGTTAACTATCACACCATCCGTTTTGTTTATACAAAATTGATTTGTTCATATAGTTAACGATATTCGATCAATGTAATTTTTTACAGGCATATATTACTCAACGAGTTCTACATATTGAACGATTCGGATTATCAACATTACCATCAAACTTTGTGGCTTTACATTTGTATTTTTTTTTTAGCCCAAAAAGTGTATAATAGCCTTCCTGTTTCACAAGTACGACTGACAGCATCCATTAAACTTTTGTATTATAAAAATAAAACATATTTTTTTAATATTTTTTATTTGTGAATAGTAATGACTTTTTTACTTTTTATGTAACTTTTTGGATTATTTTGGACTTGCCAAACCAATCTTAAGGGTCGGTTTGGACTTATTATTTTAAGAAAAAGTTATTTATAAGTCGTATTACAGAGACTTATGTTACATATGGTTCTATAAAAAAATTTATGTTCTCATAAGTCCTGTGGGAAACTTGTTGACACATTTAAATATTATTTGTTAATATAATAAATAATGGCAAAATCATATATAGGAAATTAAATATTATCATAGATCATGATCATATCTATATAGATGTGAGTTTGAATTTCAAAATTCACCTTATGTTTAGTGATTCCAACTTTGATTAGGCTATTCTTTGGGAAACAAGATATATTAGATATGTTTTGTCTCATTAGGCTAATGTAAAGGGTAGGTTCATTACACAAAATTTGGAAGGCCACCAACGAGAGAAAACGGCAGTGCAATTTAACGGCGAGGTACGATGGAACGGTGGCCTCGGAATTACGTCTCCAATGAACGATGACAACTGATGGCCCCGAAACGTAAGTGTGACTTTTCCCCTATTTTGTAATGTTGATTCCTTTGATTTTGATTAGCAACCCATAACTAAGGTTTATGTGAATATGGGATTGTTGACATTTTCGGTTTGTATCGGTCAAAAGTTGTATTGTGAGTTGTATATTTTGTGAGTTTTATGACTATTTTAGGTTTTGATAGTTTTCAATTTGAAGATGTCAGTATATATGTGTGGATTGTTGATTTGGTGTATTCTGTGAGTTATTTGTTGGTGTTTTCGAATGGGGGTTAGGTAGGTTGTCGATTTTGTGTGTTTTGTGTGTGATTTGTTGTTGTGTTATCGAATATGGGGCCTGTTTCGTGATGTTTAGGTTTGAATGGCGATCTATAACATGGTGGGTAAGTTGTCGAATGTGGCTAGTGCCACGTCCTTGTTTTATGTAGTTTAAGATTTTTGAATCTGAATGTGAATGTGAATTTATGAGACTGTTTGATAATTGTCACAATGAGTCGAATAATATAAATAACTCGATTTTTGGGTTGTGGTTGTGAGTTCAAGTTCCCATTTTATGGTGTCACATTCGTATCCGTAGTGTGTTATACGCCAACCTTCACGTAGCACATTTGTTACATTATTCAATAAATTGGAATGTGTCACATTATTCACGTTTACGTTGAGTACTTAAGTGTCACACGCACAAACGTGTGTAGGTATATAGGTATATTGTTACATGTTTGTTTTGTGAAACATGTGGTCATGTAATTTCTATTGTAACGTCAATTGTATTATGCGTGACGAATAATATGAATTTGGGTTGTGGTTTGTGTTGGGTAAATTTGGTTCATGTTTTAATTGGCATATGTCACATTGTCTTTCATGTTGTTACGTGTACAATGTGTCACATATCCACTATATGCTGTCACATTCATGTTTGGACTATTTGATAATTGTCACATTAAGTCAAATAATACAAGAAACCCGAATTCGGGTTGTGGTTGTGAGTTCACGTCCCCGTTTTATGGTGTAACATTCGTGTCCGTAGTGTGTTATACGTCAACCTTCATGTAGCACACAGGATTTGGTGAAAGAACTTTTAGTGGTTGATGATTGTCTGTAACAAAAATCAGACTTGTAAATGTGAATTATGTTTATTTGCAATGAATTTCATTGATGATGCCATACATTATATGTGGTTCATTTAAACGTATTTACTAATGTCTCATATTTTCCTGACAGGATGATTATGGTATTATAGTATGCATCATTATGAAGCAACTCATGCGTCACCTTGAAGTGGAGAAGTCAATGGGAGGGGAGAGCTGCTAGGCTATGCGAGTCAGGATGGTGAAGTCATTTGTGAACGACCCATCTAGGTCATTTGTTGATGATGATTAACAATCGGCACAATCTTCCAATGGTGACCAAATGTGTGCCTCGTGTTTTTTGGGTTTAAGTTCACGAGTAGTTAGTATTTGATTGGCACATTACAATTGACATTAAACATCTTTTGTTATTATCATGTTTTTGGTTGTTTTGGATAGCATTGTCGATACGATTTACGATTGATACATAATTTTTGAGAATATGTTGGAAAGGTTTAGTCATAAATATTTGATGCACTTGTTTGGTATGATATGGCGATAGTTATCAGTTAGTAATGTCAGTAGGAATATTAATATGAATGAAGAACAATGAGCTGACATTGCATAGTATTCTACAAGATGTAGCTTTCAATTTTTTCAATGCACATTATAGTCATTAATCTACTATCCAGGTCATCTAAATTGATGGTTGTGACATTCACATTACGCGTCGATGTTGTCACACCCTTACCAAATTTGAATTCCCAGATTTACTTTGTCTAACAACATTTGTTGCCGATCAGTTCATAATGTGCCAAAATATGTAAACCTAACTTAGTTGGCATGACGCAACAACCATGTCACAATGTGCTTGATTACTTTAGTCGTCTAATCACGTTATGCCCAATTTTGTAACCCCAGCTTATTTGGCGTGACGCAATGGCCATGTCACATTCGTATTAAGTTTGATGGAATAATCACATTTGTGTTCTTAATTGCTTTGTTCTTTCAAATGATTTGTTTAAAAAAAGTCGACAACACGAGTGTTGGTTCGACTTTCTAACTGGTTGTTATATTACATGTATACACTTGATGTTTGACGTGCCATGTCGTCCCAAATATAGGTCATCACATTCGCATTAGGCAGTGACAACATCACTCCCGAACCAAATTGGTACTCCCACATTTACGTCGGGCAACAACATTGATCGCCAATCAGTTCATGTTGTGCACGTTGTAAACCCACCATATCACATCCATATTCAAATTGGTGGAACATTCACACTTGGAATGCTAGGTGTGCTTCATTACTTTAATCTTTCAAGTTGGTGCTGTAAATTAAGATTGATGACCCGATTGCAGGATTGTCTATGGCATTAAGTGGTTAGAGTCATGACGTCACGCTTGTACAAATTTTGGCCATGAATACAATAGCAACATTGGGTGGTTTGATCGGCGTTCCACATGCAACAAAAATGGCAACTTCACACCGACATAACAACACCAACGTGACATGGTGTCATAAAACTATGGGTTCTCACATGCAAGCCCAATTTCAACGTTCTAAGTAAATGTGTATTAATGATTTGAACAATACAAGTTCATGAATCATAGCATAAACATGTAACATTAATACATGAATGAAAGTGGTATGAAGAACAAAACTAGTTAAATTATGATGTGCATAGTCCAAATCGGGAGAAGCATTCATTATGACGTGTATGAGTCCAGTTAAATTACAACTCATATGACATGTGGACTCCTATAATATGGAAACAAAGTTAGGGGTATAATAGTACACTAATATCATTCATTTACAACTCATAGGACCTTGTGAAATACATTCATATCTAAATAGGATTTGAGATTCTATAAGAAATTATATAGGACTTCATATTAATAAGTTCCCATAATAGGACTTATAAATGATTTTCCCTTATTTTAATTGCCTTTTTGATTTTATTTATTAGTTTTTTTTTTTATTTTTTATTTGTATTAGCTATTTTAACCAAAAATAAAAAAATAAAAAAACTAGTCCTAAAAGATGGCCTAAATACAATTTTTTTTTTTTTTTAAAGAAATGACTGTCCAGTAAAACAGCAAAAAGTTTTACAAATCAATGAAAAAAACTCATATATTTTTATAATTAAAACACTATACTACTTTTTATAATTTTATAATTTTTTTTTCTGTCCACTGGATAGTTTATTTCCCCATTTTTTTTCCCATGCCACAAATATATTATTATGGGGTTCAAGGTAAGTTCAAAGGGTTATCACTAGGGAAGTGTGTGGTGCAGTTTAGGTGGTTTAAGAGTAAAATTACAAATCGAATGGCGGTTTAGCGGATTAACAGATTGACAAATTGCGATTTGAACTGTTTTTGGCGAATTGGCAGATTGAAAAATATTCTAACTAATTATCATATATTTACATAATATATAACACTAATTTGTATAATATTTTTAAGATATATAACACAAAATAATTTTACATAATATGTTTCATATATATAACGACTAATTTGTAATAAATTTCATATCTTAAAAACACAACCACAACAACCGAAAAGACAAACTCAAGGGACAATCAAGGGAAAAAGAGATGAACAACAACAATAAACCATGAAACTTGAGTCTAGAATACAACAAAAGGTCGGGTCAAAATCGGAATCACTATAATCTCCCCCCTTAAGGAATTTCG